CCTCTTGCCTTCTCTGTTCTATCATCTCCCCACTCTCTCTGTCTCCATCTTCCTGTCTTTATCTGTGGGGTGCATGTTTGCCAGCAGGGCATTTGTGGAGGCTATTTTCTCTCCTTCCCCCTTCACATGGGTTCTGGGAATCAAAATGACGTAGTCAGGCTTGATGGCAAGTGCCTTTGCCCTGGGCCATTGCCAGACTCTCCACTGTTCTTTGTTGTGATGGTGTTTATTAGTCTCTGAACTTTTCCAACTTTTCAACTGTTGGGATAAGGGCATGGTTTTGATGTTTAAAAAGTAAAGACACCTGGTAGGCTGGGACTGTAGCTTGGTGCTAGAGTGCATGCCTGGTGTATGTGAGGCCCTAGGTGTGGTCTACAGCAGTACAAAAACTAAAATAAAAGATAAAACTGAGCCAGTGATGGGGACCAGTGAAGGGGACCAGTGATGGGGGGATAGAGGGTAGTGGGGGTGGAGGAGTGGAATATGAATAAGGTACAACAATATATATGAAAAAGTCAAAAGCCCATTATTAATAAAGAAGACAGCCAGGTGTAGGGGCACACACTTTTAATCCCAGTACTTAGGAGGCGGAAACAGGCAGATTTCTTGAGTTCAAGGCCAGTTTGGTCTACATAGAGAGTTCAGAACAACCAGAGCTACATAGAAACTCTGTCTCAAAACAGCAAAACAAAAAAAACCCCAAACAAACAAAAAGTCAAACCACATGGGTATAAACTTATGTGCTATTGCTATTATATATTTTTGTGGTACTAGGGATGAGACCTAGGGCCTCATGACCCACTGCTAGGTACTACCATTGAGCTACAGTCCCAGTCCAGTAGTTTGGATCTCAAGAGGTGTATGTGTGTCCATCTGGAAAAGGTGTTGGCACTACTGGAAGATAGTGGGTACTTTCAGAAGGGTTAATTGGGAAGTCTTTAGGTCGCCAGTGGTCTGCCTCTGAGACCTGTGGACTCTTGTCTCTCTTCTTTCTCTTCTACAATCATGTGATGTCTTACCACCTGCCTGAATGGAATGCCATCAACTGATCCTAGACTAGAACCTCTATAATAGTGAGCCAAATTGTGGGAGCCCACAAAAGCTTCCTAGTGAGATCTGAACTTGCTTGACACAGCAGGCCTGCATTAGGGGTTGGCTTGGCACAGCATGTGCATGGTCACCAGGTGTCTGGGATGGTCTGCACTCTCTGTGCTGGGGGGAGGTCTTTTGCTCCACCCGTTGGCGTTCCTTTAAAAAGCCTTTATTAGAAACAGAAGGACTGGTGGGTTTTGACCCAGGCCCTCCCGAGGCGATCCTATTTTTCTATCTGTCCCTCTCTCTATACTTCTATCTACACATTCCTCATTTTCCCTGCTCAAGAGAACCCTGGGGGAGTAGGAGGGAGCCGGCCTCCCTCACCAAATAAACATTTGTCTTTATAAATCAGTTATCTCAGATTATAGAGGCACAGAGCTAACCGTGCAAAGCTGATTGTGTTTCACATTCTACCAGTGTGCAACACTCTAGAATCCAGTCATGACTCAGTGTCGGGGTGTGTGTGTGTGTGTGTGTGTGTGTGTGTGTTGGTGTGTGTGTGTGTGTGTTTGTGTGGGGGGGGGGGTGATGGGTGCACAGGAACTGGGGAGTAGCTCTGTCAGTAAAACGTGTGCTGTGCAAGCATGAGGGCTCATTAAAAAAAAAAGGCCAGGTGTTGTTGGCGCTTGTCATCCCAGTGCGAGTGAAGCCGGAACAGGCCATCCGTGGGGCGCACTGCCAGCCAGCCAGCCTGCTTGGTAAGCTGGAGGTCAGTGAGAGACCCTGTCTCGAAAAGGGGTGGTGGATTTTTCTTGAGGTACAACACCTAGGGTTACCCTCTGGCCCCTATACACCTACACACATGCACAGATAGGTGAGCAAATATTTAAAAGGACATTATAAAGAGAAGGTACACACAAGGCTGGTGACGTGGAAAGATACTGACTTTCATTAGCCCTCACAGAAATGCATTGTGGGAAGGCAGGATGCCCCTGCATCCACTGAGAGGCTGAAGATAAGGCCGAGAACATGAATGTTAGTGAGCAAGTGGGACAGCTGGAGCGTGAGTCCTTCAGTAACTGAGAACAGAAGATGTTTTCTCGCTGGAAAAAAATCGACAGCTGCCGTAAGATCAAATATTGCAGTTATCTGCTTAGAAAGTGCATTTCTGGATGGGCAGTGGTGGCACATGACTTTAATCAGCACCCAGGAGGCAGAAGCAGGCGGAACTCGATGAGTTCAAGACCAATTTGGTCTGCAGAGCAGGTTTCAGGACAGTCAGGGCTACACAGCGAAACCCTGTCTTGAAACAACCCTCTCACTCCCATCCCCGACCCCGGTTATCCCAAGAGAAGTAGAAACATGTTTTCACAAAACTCTTGGTTCATAAAATGCCTTGTCCTTGTTTTGGTCCCCCCCACCCCCAAACAGGGTTTCTCTGTGTAGTTTTGGAGCCTGTCCTGGATCTCCTCTGTAGACAAGGCTGGCCTTGAACTCACAGAGATGTGCCTGCTTCTGCCTCCTGAGTGTTGGGATTAAAGATGTGCGCCACCACCTCCCGGCAAATACCTTGTTCTTAATAGCCCTAAACCAGTAAATTCAGATGTCCATCTGTAGGTAAACAGAGAGAGAGCTTAGTGGAGTCCTGCAGCGGCCTACCAAGCAATACCAGGAGCATTCGGAGCTGGCCCGAGAAGCCAGGTCCCAAAGAGCACATTACATAGGCTTCCACCAACACGTTAATAGTGAAATTCTAAACCAGGCAAAGCTAATCGATAGGGACAGCAGAGTGGCACGTGCCAGGGCTGACAGTGGAGTAGGATTGATGGAGTCTCAGGTAGTTCTGGATGCTGAGATTATAAGCATGTGCCACTGTGCCTGACTTTGTTTCTGAGTTTTGAGGCAGGGTCTTGCTGTGTAACTCACTCAGCCTTGAACTGGTAATCCTGTTTCAGCATCTCAAGTGAGTCACCCTTCCAGAATTAAAAATACTTTTTCTTTTGTTCTTTTCTTTTCTCTTCTCTTCTCTTCTCTTCTCTTCTCTTCTCTTCTCTTCTCTTCTCTTCTCTTCTCTTCTCCTTTCCTTTCCTTTCCTTTTCCTTTCCTTTTTCCTTTTCCTTTTCCTTTTCCTTTTCCTTTTCCTTTTCCTTTTCCTTTTCCTTTTCCTTTTTCTTTTCCTTTTTCTTTTTCTTTTTCTTTTTCTTTTTCTTTTTCTTTTTGAGATGGGTTCTTATTGTAGTCCTGGCTGGCCAGGAACTCACAGAGAGCTCTCCCTGCCTCTGCGTTCTTTGTTTGGGGGGGTTAAAGGCATGAGCCACTCAGATGTTCTTAATTTTGGTTTTGGCAGTGGTTTAACAGGCCATGTGTGGCTCAGGAACTGATTACAGCCTTAAGATGAGTGCATTTCATCGTGTGTAGATTATGTTTCAAGACCAGGAAAGTGAAACAAACAACTATATATAAACAACTATAATTCGGTTTATCTGTTAGCAAATGTATCCTCAAGGTGATTCATTAAACAACATTCAAGAAGTCCAGGGCCAGGAAGATGGGAAGTGGTCGAGAGTGCTAACTACACGATTTCCATTGTCCCCAAGCCTGGCACAGCACTGCAGGCCTGTGATCACAGCTCCTGTGGTGAGGTGGAACCAGAGACCCTGCTCACCCAATAAAGCAACAGCCCAAATCAGTTCTCTGATAAAAGCTCAGTGGAGGAGAGAGGCAGGTGTCATTTATAGATGAGAAAATCGGGTCTTCTGTCGTGTTTCTGGAGTCTTCCAGACATCTGCAGGCTGAGAGCAGTATTTTAGAATGTGAGGTGGGCATCTGCTGGGTCTCGTTGTACAAAAGAGGCAGAGCTCAGGTGACGGACGATGCTCTTGTCAGGAGGGTTAGAACAGTTGCTTTCCTTACCTCCATTTGGGGGGAGAGCGAGTAGAGAAATACACCCACAAATACACTCCAGCAGATTTGCTGGTGTAAACATACAGTAAAACATCAAATTGCCCCAAACTGTGACCACCTAGGAAATTGGTGTTTTTAAAGGTGGTTCAGATTAGGCTAACATACAGGCCTGTAATCCTATCTACTCGGATGCCTAGGTAGGAGGATTCAAAGTCAAGGCCTGCCTGGGCTATATTAGAGAACCAAGGCAATTTAGTGAGGCCCTGTCTCTGGAGGGCTGGGGAAGGACTGTATTTACCTAGGGTGCCTGAGGCCCTGGGTTTAATCTCCATGCTGCTAAACCAGAGGCGTAAAGATGGCGTAGGTTCTGATAAACTGATGGTAGCACAGTCAGGATAGTCTCCTGATAGGTTTCTGGGTAAAATAGTTGGCTTTAGTGACTGTAGGAGTACAAGTGGAGGAAAGCAGGTATGGGAAATAGCCAAGGCCAGCAGCCAAGACAGCAGCAGCATGGAGGCTGACGCTATCTGGCTGCTGGTGTGTCGGTGCGGCAGGCCTGCTTGTGTAGCCAGAAAGTCCTGGTTTCTTTTTCTTTTCTTTTTTTTCTTTTTTGAGTCGAGGTCTCTCTGTGTAGCCCTGGCTGTCGTGGAACTCACTCTGTAGACCAGGCTGGCCTCGAACTCAGATCCCCTGCCTCTGCTTCCCGATTCTGGGATTAAAGGCCATGAAAGGAAAAAAGAGAAGCCAGGCTTGGTGGCATGCTCCTGTATTTGCAGCCATTTGGGAAGCCACAGTGGGAAGATTGCTTGAGCCCAAAAGTTTGAGGCCAGCTTGGGCAAAACGGTGAGACCCTAGATTAAAACAGAGGCGGGAGAGAGCGAAGGTCCCAGTATCCCCTTCAAGGCATCTCCCTAGTGCCCTGACTCCCCCACCCCACCCCACGGTCCCTCTGACTGGGGATCAAGCCTTTACCCAGGGCCTCTGGGGCCATTTTAGATCCTAACTGTTGTAAGGTTGTACTTTAGGAAATTAAATGTTACTGCTCTGTTTTAACATTATAGCTTCTCCGCTGATTTCCAAAGAGATAACAAACATGACTGAGTTCTGGCTCATATCTGCTCCTGGGGAGAAAACCTGTCAGCAAACATGGGAGAAACTCCATGCAGCAACTACCAAGAACAATAACCTTGCGGTCTCCTCCAAGTTCAACATTCCTGACTTAAAGGTGCGACTGCACTGTGCAGAAAACTGCCCTGGGGGAGCGGGG